TTTTGTATTTTTAGTAGAGACGGGGTTTCACTATGTTGACCAGGATGGTCTTGATCTCTTGACCTCGTGATCCACCCGCCTCGGCCTCCCAAAGTGCTGGGATTACAGGCGTGAGCCACCGCCCACGGCCTCATTCTTTTCTTTGGTGAAATTCTAAAAGAGTGAATTTGTATGGTGTTATGTTAAAAAAGAGTAAGTATCTTAATTTGTTGATTAAGATTTGTTTTGGCATTTGTTGATTCTACCAAATGCTCGGTACAGGTGACAGTAGTTTCCTCACTTCGTTCTGGTCTCTGCTTGGACATCATGGCCTCTGACCACCCCTTCACCTGTCACTCTGTTAGCACTTTACCCCACTGAACCTGTTTTTCTGCATATAGTTTATTATTTCCCCAATTTTACTTTTATTATTACAATTTGGAAGGGAGGAAGGAAATTGCCTCTTCCTCTAGAGTATAAGATCCACGAGGACAGATTTGTTTATAGCTGTATTTTTCCTTTACTTAGAACTGATACACAGTAGGTGCTCAAAACATTTGTTGAATGAATGAAAGAATGCCGAATGAATGAAGCAAAGCTTTCTTTCTGATTTTGTGCCTCCAGTGGTTTCCTCTGCAGATAGTGAAACAAAAATGGTAAACCAACCCTTCCTCAGAGCCTGAGTGAGATCTATGTGCCACAATAAGTATCTTCTTACTTATCAGCAAATATTTTTGTTAAGTGAGATGAATCAGAATCTTATCTCCTGGCATAAAATAAACAGAGAAGACAAAGCATTGCTTATTTAGAGACACACCCAGACATTCATTAGCTTCCCAAAATGTAGTTTGGTCTTTTTCCTAAGTAGTGAATTGTTTTAGTGTTTCCCATGAAAGGAGCTGTGCATGCTAAGAGTTTTTCTAGCATCAGTCTTTGGAAAGGCTTCTTATGTGTCACTGAGGTCCAGATAACCCGAGGGCCTCTGTGACTGCTTGGATGTCATGATTAGTGAGCTTTGATGAACATGTGTTTGAAAGGTACAGGGTTATTCGGGCCAGGTTGGATGCTTCAGATTCATGCTTTCTGGCCTCCCTGAAAACTGGCAGTGTGCTTGGCTTAAAGTATGGCTTGTTGTTGTCTCTCTGAACTTTAACAGCTGTTGAACTTGATTTTGTTGTGTTTTGTCTTTTTCTGGCACAAAGTAGAGCCATAGAAAGGCAGCAAAGTCATTAAAAATTTCAGCCAAGCCTTTTAATTTTTTTTTTTTTGAGCTTTATACACATGATGAAAAGAAAAATAGACTTTTTATTGTGCTTTACCCCAAGTCTTCAACAAGGACCTAAACGGCAGCAACAAACTGCACCAGATGCAATTTCATGAATCCACCACTGTTTACAGAATGCTTCTTTTGTTGGGTCTCATTTTCACAAAACTAACTTTTATTTATTTATTTATTTTGTTTTCTCTTTAGATTATAGATGAAATCTTAAAGATGAATGAAGATACCAGAGTACATGGCCTTGCCCTTCAGATCTCTGAGAACTCGTTCAGCAACGAAGTCCTCAATGCCTTGAAACCAGAAAAAGATGTGGATGGGTAAGAAAATAAAAACACATAATCCACCTTTACGGCTAAGTCACTTTTTCTATTATGCTGGTTTTTTTTTTTTTTTTTTTTGGGGTGGGTTTTCTTTTGTTTCCCTTTTTGGAATGCAATGGTGTGCTCTGAGATCACCACAACCTCCGCCTTCTGGGTTCAAGCGATTCTCCTGCCTCAGACTCCCAAGTAGCTGGGACTACAGGAGCCCACATCGATGTCCAGCTAATTTTGTATTTTTAGTAGAAATGGGATTGCCTCCATGTTGGTCAGGCTGGCCTTGAACTCCCCACCTCAGGTGATCCGTCTGCCTTGGCCTCCCAAAGTGCTGGTATTATAGGCATGAGCCACTGTGCTTGGCTGACCTTTTTTATTTTTTCTAAATTTCTTCTATTTGTTTGAACTATGTCTAAGTGTAACTTTGTACCTACTGATTGACCAACCTTTCCCCATGTCAGTAATTAGATGAAGAAAATCATTTTAAATAGTTCAGGAGTCTGTATAGGCTTTTAAAATTCTGCATGCAAAAGTTATATATTTTGGAAAATACATTAGCCAGTTTAAAGTGCTTCAGTGCCATATGATCCTACACCAACAGATTCATTGAAGTCCCAGTCTGAATTATACAATCTTTGGCCAGCTCAATTCTTCTAATAGTTTTTCCTTGGTAATTCTACAAGACCAGAGAAGAAAACTTAGAAACCCGATTCCCCAGCAGTACCGTATTCTTAGCCCCAGGCCAGCCGAGAAAAGCAAAATAAATACTTTTCTTAATGGCACAAGGTTTTATGTGAAATTTGGAGGGGAACATCATAACTATTGGGTGCTGTAATGCCGGGCCCCGATTCCTGTCGTAGGGTGACATCAACTTCACAGAACAAAGCATACTGGCCGTCTCCAGTGGGGGATAAGCATGCTTTCTGGGGATTAAAAACCCCATTTTCCTCCATGGAAATATAGGAAGTGTTTTGTACTGTGGCCAAAAAGAACACAATGTTTTTATGGTTATAGGTTGTAAGCAGATTTATAAAATTAGATTCCAGATCTGGTAGACCCTTCACAGGCTGGATAGAGAGGCTGCCTCCTCCCTGAGACACCCAGCAATCTTCCATTCTAGCTTTTTACTGTGACTTGAGTAGACCCAAACACAGGCTGAAAAGGTGTCACAAACACCTCCAGTCCTAACAGGGCATGGTGGCTCACACCTGTAATCCTAGCACTTTGGGAGGCTAAGACAGGAGGATCTGTTGATCTCAGGAGGTCAAGACCAGCCTGGGCAACATAGTGAGACCTCGTCTCTGTTTTTAAATAAATAAACAAATATTTTTTACAAAAACATCAACAATCTCCAGTTCTGTAGTAGTCTAACTTTAAAAGAAGAAGAAGCCCTAATCAATGAGAAAACTTTCAGAACTTGAAGGTCCCAGGGCATAGTTTCAAGTCTTTCATAAAAGGCGAGGAATTCATGCTGAGGCCCAGCCAGGAAAAACCAACCAAACAACAACAGGAGAGTCAAAGAAGAAAATTAGGAAAATGGTTCTAAATGTCTCCATTCTGTTACTGGGATTGATGTGCTCACTTTAGGCTAGATAGTTGTGGAGTGTTTTGTCCTAGATTTGAACAGGGAAAGGCACAGCCTTCAGAAGTGTGTGGTCACTCATTTTTTCCATGCCTCGGCTTCCCAAGGAGATAAATATTGATGTCAAGCTGAAATCAGACCTGTGCATCCATCCCAGCTCTTACTGGATTACTCCAGATTTGTAGGATCAGCTCTGGGTTTTAAGTAGACTGCAGGACCATGCTGTTGTGTAACTAGGGATGCCAATTTACTGCAGTTCACTGAAAGGAGCTCCTTGGAGTTGCAAAGTGAAGCTTTGTATGGCCATAGGCTGTGTCCTGGTATGTGGGCAAAACCAGAACACCCCAGGTCAGGGTCAGGATGAAGTTTCCTAAGGTACTGCCTTAGAAAATGAATGGCCTTGGCCGGGTGCGGTGGCTCACGCCTGTATTCCCAGGATTTTGGGAGGCCGAGGTGGGTGGATCACCTGAGGTTAGGAGTTCAAGACCAGCCTGACCAACATAGTGAAACCCCATCTCTACTAAAAATACAAAAAATTAGCTGGGTGTGGTGGCGGGTGCCTGTAATCCCAGCTACTCATGAAGCTGAGGCAGGAGAATCGCTTGAACCTAGGAGGTGGAGGTTGCAGTGAGCCAAGATCATGCCACTGCACTCCAGCCTGGGCAACAAGAGCAAGACTCTGACTCAAAAA